TGCTTACAGTATCGCAATATATCGGGATATATCGTATCGTGACCCCTCTGTTATATGTATCGTATCGCCAAATTATTGCCAATACACAGCCCTACTAGCTCACAGGGAAAATTTCAAAATTTTAAAAAGGTGTTTTTTCTCAAAATCATGTTTTTGTTGCTACTGCTCAAAAAAGTGCTTCAAAAAAAATTTAGGATAATATTTAAGACAGTTCATTGATAAAACATTATATTTTGACAAAATGTAATTTTTGCAAGTGTTTTGATCAAAATACTATATCTGCCTATTTCTCCACATACAACTTTTAGATTTTATCCTTGTTTTGATGTGATGGGTCACATATGTGTTCCATTGTAAATAAAATACAGGTTAGCTAATCATTGCTGTTAAACTTTATATAACAACCCAACATTTTTAGACTTGTGTTTGTGAAGGAGACTAAAATAGAAAAATGTCAAATGTGGAAATAATATAAAGATTACAAAAAAGTAATGATTACTTATCAGACTTCTACTTCCTGAAACAACCAATTCCTTCATCATTGCTACTTTTAGGTGAAAGTAGAGACACCAGTGTCCTTATTTCTGGGAGGTGGGCTGTTCCTTAGATTAGATCGGTGGAAAAGATCAACTTCATGTCTCCACAAAGGTCTGAAAATCAGCCACTGTCCCCTTTTTCTCTGCTGTGAGCACTCCCTCATGTCCAGGTAAAAAGGTTTGTATTGTTCAACGTCTTTCAATAAAAACAAGACGGGAACATTAAAGGTGTATTGTGACATTATAACACCTGACAGTGTCAGTTATTTAAAAAAAACAATCAGTAGGTCAGACTTTTTAAAGAGTGGTGATACTGGACAGAAAACTACAATGGGTGCACCCCTCAGGAAAAGTGATTAATTCCCAAATACATGATTTTATTTCTTCAATTCTTCACAAAATCTGTTAACACTGCACACATGTGTTTTTTGTACCCTAATAGGAGGAAACCATGTAAAAAGGCACAGCTTGGGGGAGATCTGCATTTCTGTTTTGGAGATGAATGCAGACACCAGAAGGCTTCCCTGCTGTGTTTGTTGGGTAAACAGTGGCTGGCAGTGACAACACTGTGACTGCACCCTGTCTTTTTGTCGCCTGCACTTCTTCACAACACAGAAGGCATGAATGAATCAGTACGGATACACTGGAGGGAAATATTTACAGCCTCGTCACGATGACTGGACTGTGCTCATTTTTGTCTGAGCTCTACTGCTGGGAGGAAATTACAATAGTTAAAATATACTGTATATACTGCTGCTGCAGATGTTCAGTGTGTGTGTGTGTGTGTGTGTGTGTGTGTGTTACCCTGTTTGTAATGCGTCAACATAACAGAACACTTTCTATTTTGGTGATGCAGTTTCAGAACCAGCTAATGTCCCTGGCTAAATATATAAATAAAAGAAAACACCAAAGGAAACCAGCCTATGTTTATTTGTACAAGTATTAAAGTCATTAAATAAGTGAGCCATCATAGCAAAATGAGGATTAATTCAAATTAGATCAAAATGACCTAATTACATTTTCAGATTCTTGTCTTTAAAAGCTACATTTTAACACCTGGATCATTCTGATGTCATAATTAAATCCATATATATGACTTAATTTGTCTTGTTGGTTACAATAATACATAAATATTTGGTCTGAATCCTAATTTTATGTCATTTATTGAGCAATTCTTTATGTTAATATAAAGAGGAAACCTCAAACATTATTTGTATATTAAGATTTTCCAGTTGGAAAGAAACAAAAACTTTACTAACTCACAGGGAAAAATTCAAAATTTTAAACGATTTCTCCAAAAAATCAGGTTTTTTGTTCCTAACGCTCAAAAAAATGCTTCAAAAATATATTTTTATGATTATATTTCACACAGTTCATTCAAATGATACATTGATAAGTTATTTATTCTTTATATTTTGACATTATGCAATTTTTGCATGTTTAAATCAATGCTTATTTCTCCACATTCCAGTTTTGGACATAATCCTCATTTCGATGTGACGGGTCACATGTGGCAAATATGAGCCAGATTTTAACATCTTAGGAAACAGCACAAAAATACAGGCTGCTGTTGTGTTCAGTTTCCCACAGTTCAGAATGTGCATTAAACACAGCTAAGAGTGTAAATAAAATGTAATAAACTGTGTTCAGATATTTTTCTATAGAGTGTCATTTGTAAAGTTACACAGTCAAAAATTACCTCCAATGTTTTAGTTTTATTTAACCTTTTAAATGAAAAAAATAACAGATTTACTTTTCAAAGTCAGTTTTTTCACCATTTGATTCATACATTTATAAATGTCATAGTTTATAAACTAAATACTTAACTTACAAATTAAATACTTAGTTAACAAGCTAAATATTTAACTTGTGACTTAAATATTTAGTTTTGAGCTAAATATTTAGCTTGCAACTTAAATATTTAGCTAGCTACCAAAATATTTAGCTAGGTACGTAAATATTTAACTTGCAATCTAAATATTGAGCTAGAAAGTTAAATATTTAGTTAACAAGTTAAATATTTAACTTGTGACTTAAATATTAGTTTTGAGCTAAATAAATATTTAGCTTGAAACTTAAATATTTAGCTAGCTACCAAAATATTTAGCTAGCAAGTTAAATATTTAGGTAGCTAGCTAAATATTTAAGTCACAAGCTAAATATTTAGCTCAAAACTAAATATTTGTCACAAATTAAATATTTAGCTTGTTAACTAAATATTTAATTTGTAAGTTAAATATTTAGTTTATAAACTATGACATTTATAAATGTATGAATCATACGATAAAAAACTGACTTTGAAAAATAAACCTGTTCTTTTTTCTTATAAAAGTCTAAATAAAACACAAATATTGGTGGTAATTTTTGACTGTGTAACTTTATAAACGGCAGCCCATATTTTCCTGAGAGCAGCTGTGAGTCATGTTCACTCAGCATGTCTGCAGTGAAGTTGAATAATAAAATAGGGCAGGAACAAGTCTAGAAAGCAGACTTTGTGCTGGTAATGAAGGACAGAACATCATGTAACTGCAGCCTGAGGCATGGCGCCACCTGGTGGTGACACGATGAAGTGACAGGGAAAAGTAGGTCACTACGGCTAAAAAAAAAGGGTAGATAAAAGAGTAAAAATGAAGTCTTACCCAGGTCTACTGCTGCACTGTACTTGTCCAAGGCCTCCGGGAGGTCCTGTTTCCTCCACAAGTCCTCCCCCTCCATCCACAACTTCCTGGCTTTGCTCTCAGCGGGGAAGAGTTTGTCCAAGAGGCCGCTGAGAACCACGTTCACCCTGCGGCCGTTCAACAGCCTGTCGCTGGGGCTCCACACGTGTCTGCAGCTGACACAAGCCTTCACCGAGTCCTGGTCCAGGCAGCGTTTACAGAAAGTGTGTCCGCACTCCACGGTTGTGGGTTCATGGAGCAAACATCTGCAGAGGCGGCATGAAAACAGGTCCAGAGCTGCATCTTCTTCAGCCTCATCAGAACAGTCCTGTCCTCCTCCTCCTCCTCCGCCGGTTAAAGCCACCGGCATGCCCAGCTCCTTCCCTCGCAGGGAGCGGGCGATGGTCTCCACCAGGACGGGCAGCTCGTCCGGCCGCAGTTTGCCGAGGCTGGCCGCTGTGCAGTACGACTCCAGCGCCTCGGAGATCCGGCCCGCTCGGGCCAGAGAGTCCGCCTTCCGCAGACACAAGCCCCTGTCCGGCTGCTGGAGGTCGGAGAGCTGGGAGCTGTAGATCTCCACGGCCAGGTTGAAGTCCCCGGCCCGGCTGGCCTCCTCCGCCACCTCCAGCATCTCTGGGCAGAGGCCCGGAGCCCCGGGGTGGGACAGCGGGTGGAGGAAGACATCAGCCGGCTGAGACTGCACTTCAGTCTCCATCTTGTTGTTTTTGTTTTAATTAATAACCCAAAGCTAACTGTTTCCTTCACAATCAGAAACCATATTTCCAGATCAGTCACTTTAATCTAAACAACAACAACGAGCAGAGGCTGGATATCATCACATAGAAGTAAAAGTTTGATCTGATTATTGAACCGAGCGGAGGCTCAGAAAACAACTCTTCATAATGTAAACAGTTTAAGAGCGGGTCGAAACTTTGTGCTGACAGACCCTCAAATAAAACATCCGGGTGAAACCCAGCAGGCGGAACCTTTGTTTTACATTTACTCTCCTTTATAATTAATATATGATAGGAACTCGTATCTAAATACTTATCGTGTTAAGAAAGTCGATAAAAGCCCGGTTTGTCTTCGGACCCAGAAGCTCCGCAGCCCGGCACCGAGCGGCTGACACCGGCAGAGCTAACGTTAGCTAACACCGCTCGCTCCTTCGAGCCCTTTTAAACTTCAAACGGACTCGAACAGGCACGATATCCCCAAATCCTCGTCCCTCCACAAGTAAAGCCGTCATGGCTTCCCCCTCAAAGCGGAAGAACCAGGCACTGAAGTGAAACGACCGCCGGGAAGACACATCTCAGCTGCTAGCTAACTAAAGCTTCTTTGGACTGTTCGTGGAAGGGGACGCACGACGTCACGTGACGCACGAAGCGCGCTCCCATTGGCTGCTATGTGGCTCAGTTATATAAGCTGGTGATGTTGTATAACCTGAGACAGGCAGCAGGGACAGACTACCTGAGAGGTGAGGCAGTGCTACTGTACTCATTTGTTGTGGTCAGGCCTCACACGTGATTTTATGACTAAATACCTTTTATGGACTAAGAACAAAACAAACATTCTGCTCTGTTTGAGGGTAAATAAAAACACTTTGGCTCGACACACAGTTGGTTAAACTGTGGGACAGATCCCTGCTTTTATGTAATGTTTTATATAAGTGTCCGTTCTGGGCTTGAACTGAAACTGATGACAGCATGTTGTGCTGCAGGCTTTCTAAAAACTCTGGGAAAATGAAGAAATACAGAAAAATAGTTTGTTACAAGACTTTTTTTCATCAGTTTGACAGAGCCAGTTCTCACCACAGATATGACCCACCTCTGACAGTTTTCACACAAAACTAGATTCACACAAATCACAAACTGTAAATGTCCGAAACACTATATATATATATATATATGTGTGTGTGTGTGTGTG